GCTGTCGGATTGTGTCTGTCAATGAACTGTCACCCGTGATGACAAGGTCTAGCAGTGAAGGGACTTGCCGGTTCCGTTGGGCTTTTGACGTGCTGAGACCATGACAGCTCTATGATCAGGTTGACTAGCAGCCTTCCAAATGTATTATCCGGGGGTGTGGAGCCAATCTGTTGCCGGAGCGTTGAATTCTCCAGTTATCAGAAGGTGCGCATTGGGCGCGTAGATCTTAAGCTATTCAGTTGATCTATCAGTGGTCGTGACTGTAGCTCTCCACAGGGGGGTGAGCGGTAGACTCCTCTTAGCATCAGTGTATCAGAGCTGGACAGGGGAATTTGAACCCAAACGCAGTCTATGTAGGGGATTGGAGGGACTGATGGAGTGATCACTTGGGGGAGGTGGTCACTCGTGTATAGGAACACACCATCTGCTCGACCTCTCATTGACTCTTTTCGGATCAATGAGTGACCTGCAAGGGATATTTCGCCATCGCTGTCTTTCGGGGTCAACCAGGTTTCTGTGAGGGCTAAAAGATGGGGTTTCTTATCAGCCACTAACTGTTCGACTTTCAGCATATTGTTCGAGATGCTGAGACAGTTAGCAGAAATGCACTTCAGAGCCCACTCACCAGTGACTTCAGTAGTACCAGGATTAGAGGGGGGATCTTTTGGAGGGGCTCTAATTTGGGCATCTGATTTGTATTAGGTGGGCTGTGAAAAGGGTCCGGATTGNGGCGGGATTGCCTTGACCTGTTGAAGAAATTGGGAGGACAAGTAGAACAGGATGAGGGCAGAAAAGAGACGGTTTGCGATCCCCTACAGGGGTGTGCGAGGTATTCTGGAATCCGCGTCACGGAAAAGAGGGTATTGTGGTGCTAATGACCCGGTTGGGAAGAGAGATACGGGGGGTTTTCCGAGTAAACCGTTCCTTTGTGGCTTGTGATGAGGAGGCTTCTTGGGGTTAGTCTTAATTCGTAAGGGGGGTGTGGTACCTCGGTGTCAAAGCTGTAGGGAACTGTTCAGGTCGCGCTTCGGATGTGATTGAGGCCCTGGGGGATTGACATGCCTTGGGAAATGAAAAGGTTGTCGTCGCTTGGTGATCTGTTCGCGAGAGGGGGATTACTGGCAGACAGCAGAGTTTGGGATCGCTGGCACCATTGTTACTTTTGAGGTCTTCCTTCTGCTGAGTTTGCGTGTGCAGTGGCAAAGTTACATGCCCTTTTCAGGGCCTCGGTTTGGGCGAGAGCGTCTGCTACCGCTGATTCCGAGTTGAAAGTGATAAGGATGCCCACCTTCCTCTTCTTAGATTTGGACATCAGCCACAACGCTCCGATTGGTTTGGGTAGGAATGAAGCTGTAAGGCTTCTCGAGAGGGTTTTGTTTGCCTGAACCGGATAACTGAACTTGGAGGAACTACCCCAAATTGTAATTCGTTTTGCGCTAATGGCCGCACTCACTGTTTGTCGTATTTCCAATTATCTCATCATTCATCCGGTATAGCGATTCTTGTTTTTTGTCCTACATCCACCGACTTGCTCTTTTGGTGCATTCTGCTATCTCGATCCTTATTCTCTGATACCTTGTCCACTTTGTGTTCCATTTGTAATTATGTTCACTGCGACCTTCATATTCCCCCCCCCATTTTGGGCCACTCCTGTACGGAGGATTATGTTGTACATTTGATCATGCCTATGCATGCCTCACGGGGCTCCGTGAAATATACACTTATTATTATTATTATTATTATTATTATTCTAGTTTGACTGCAGTGTCGAATATCTGTTGTTTCGATAATGTGATCTCCTGGCCTGCGGCCGCACATTTTGGGAAATTATCCTTCAATAACGCCGTCAGGTGACTTATGTCGTTATCTAGTGCCGCGACCTTTCCTCGCAGTGCGTGTATTATCGACCCTTGCAGGTAAAGGGCGACTAGAGCCGCTTCTAGCGCTATTTGAGTGCTAGCCCAGTCGCTGGTTTTATACACGTACTGGGGCAGGGGAGGTTCCCGCATGGGTAAAGTGCCTTCGTCGGAGGACTCAGAGGGCTCAGAATACATGGTTTAAGATTAGTGGTACTAGTAAAGTATAAATGGGAATGGAATGAGATGGAATGGTGTTAGTTCAAGGTAGTCACAATTCGGGATATATGCAATGATGTACAGATAAATACTAATAAAACGTAAAAAAGGCCAACTATCGAGCCACGACAGATTTTCAACCGCGCGCGGTCACGGTTCAGTACTTAATAACACATAGGCTTATGATTCAAGTCCAGTTTGAATTCTTTGGGAAACGATCCAGTCTAACCAACCCGATGGCATTTATGGACGACGTGACAAGAAGAATAGACGAAAGTCGCCAGGTGGATGTTTGATATTTGTATTCTAGCTGGACTCTGTCACTCATGAGTTGCTGGATCTAAAAATGCAGGCTTAGGTGATCCTAGGTAAGAAAAGAATGTGTATTAGACAATTTCTCAGCTGTCGCTCATTCAGTGTGAGAGTTGGAAATTATGGGACTGAACCTGAAGGGATATGGAGCGGTGTCCCACAGGGATCGTTACTGGGTCCATTATTGTTTTTGATGTTCGTTAAAAATCTGGCGAAGTATCCCGAAAATCCTTGCTAAATGTTCGCCGAAGATGTGAAGTTTGCTGGGGAATGGTTGGAGCAAAATCTAAATACAGGTAGAAGGTGGTCAAACAAGTGGGATCTACAACTGAATCCAGGTGGGTATCAGCTAACAATCACAAGAGCTAAGGATGACACGAGAGGTGTGATGCATTTGCAGAATTTCTCTTATTTGAAGGATCTAGAGGTCATGATTACAAATGACTTCAGGCCATTCCTGCAGTGTAAGCGTGCAGCTAGCAAAGCTCGACTTGAACTCTTCAGTTTGTACGCTGCTGTAAGTTGCAAAAACCCCGAGGTTTTCGTACCTCTTCACAAAACTACAGTGCGTCCTCAGTTAGAATATTGCGTACAAGCATGGACGCCTTATTCGTAACAGGATGAATAATGTCTTGGGAAAGTACAGCCTTGAGCAACCAGAATGGTTGCAGACCAAAAAAGTATAGGGATACCTGCAACGACTGGAGAACTTGGACTTGTGTTCACTGGCCTGCAGAAGAATGGGTGGGGGTAAAATGACAGAGGCTTTTTATATTTGCATAGGTCTTTTGGATCTAAAGTTCGAAAACCTATTCTCGTTTGTTTCTTCCAGGGGCACGAGAGGGCAAAGACTTAGACTGGAAAGAAGACATTGTAGAACAAATCTACAGGTTGGATTCTTTACAATCAGGGTTACCTCACTGTTGAATGAATTACCTGAAGCGGTGGTTAACTGTATTGGTGTCGAATCTTTCAAAAGAAAGCTATATGAGTGCTACGCATTAGTATTTCCTGAATTTGAATTTTTACATCTAAACATTAGGTTTTACTTTCAGGAACTTTGTAAGGGATCTGATACTGCACAATAACAGTGCCTTCAAGAAAACCCTATTGACTTGATGTGTTGGAAGCCGACAATACCGCCGACAACACAAGAAACTGGACGCCCAAGTGGCAAGAGCCACAATTCCTTCTTTGTGTAGTGGACTGAACTGAACTGAAACTGTTCAAGCCTCTTAAAGTAAAAAGAGACAGGATAAACGTCTCCCATAAAGTAGTCGAAGCCTAGAAACGACTATGGACGAGGTTTTCTCGGTGTGCTTGCTTGACTTATTNNNCTTTGGGTTTAATTTTCCCGACTCAAGCTAACGGAAAAAGTAGTCAGACTTTGATAGTAACTTACATTTTCATCTTTCTCAACTCGTCGGCCACCCGCACCTCATTGAACATTAGCTATTTTATCCCCACTTATTCAAATGCCATTTTTATTTACTAATCCTATTTTTAGCTGCCCACGCTCTCCTCCCCATATCAACTAACTTATCTTATCTTATCTTATCTTATCTTAAATTACCCTTGTATGACCGCGGGTTTTCTGTTGTTTTACGGAGGGGTACCAAAACCGCATGGAATTATCGTACGGAAATTTTGCCGGAGCTCAGGGAAATTTCACTTTCTGTTGCACAGTACAGAGATCACGGTGGCTTGCAATGAGTAATATGGTCGATTGGTTCTACGCGTCAACTTTGTTAATTTTGCATCACAACTAGAACCGCTCCACTTATTCGTCGATCTCGGAATGACTACCATGCGTGTTCAGTTTCTCGGTGGCTGGCAGTTTCATTGCCCGAAACCAAATTGTAGCAGTCAAAAGAGGTACGGATTACGAATCACGGACGCAACTGCAACACTAAATTGCGCTAGCACTCGAAGTTCATATCAACCAGTCTACCTTACAAAATTCTTGAACTGAAGCAACTGGCTCGTGATATGAAGCTACACATAATCGCTCTGACTTAGACGGGGCACAATCAAGATGTATTAGATGATGGGATAACGCTGGCTGGGTACACCCCGCACAGACAGGACTCTAACCGGGGGCACGCGAGTGGGGTGGTTATATTCCTTGATGAATCCTCCACCTGTTTTGCGTGTTTCCTATTCAATCATTCAATCACCTGAGGCCCTATGAATCAACATTCTCTTTTCGAAAAAAGAATCTTCTCCTGATCCTTGTTTAGCGCTCCCCAACGAACACACAGGATGTATTTCAATCAATTCTGAAGCATTTTTGCAACCTCCGTTACTGTTGCATTTTCTGACAACTTCTGGTCCTGGGCGACTTCAATACCTCGGGTATCAACTGGCCTAGAAGCCACTCTACAGATAGAATGTTTACTGAGCCCATTATAAAACTCTTCCTTGAAAGTTCTTGGCACCAAAACGTTGCATTGTGTAGGTCAGAGCCCCTCTTTTTTAAATCTTATGGTTACCAGCAAAAGATGTCATATCGACACAATATCATATCTAGTTCATAAGTGAAGGGACCACCTTCTTCTCTCCTTGGAGTATATCATTCACTGGTCTACTTGCAGGTCCTTTCCCAGAATACTGCGGCCCTTCTTAAGGGCTGATTTTGTTATCTAACGAGAAATTCTTTCCAAAGAACTGTGAATCTGCGATTTTGATATTATTCCGAACCACCATAATGAGTTGCTCGAGAGTCTAGTTCATGAAGCGGATCACTTCTCCACTTCAGGAGTTAAACCTCGTTCATAGCATAGGCCAATCATATTCCGCTCCATCTGGCACCAGGTGGACGAATGGGAGAGCTTATTTGCTAGACTTTAGTGTACTGGGCTCGGCGCAGATACTGTCGATTTTAAGCGGATTTGAAACCTGTGAAATCAGACAGTTAAATAAATCTACAATAATCGACAGGAAGGAATTTTTCGTCGTGCTCCAAAAAATCCTAATT